CCGTCTGGAAATTTAACACTGTGTGTTATCCAATCAATCGCAGCTGCATTCAGTCGATATATGGGAATAGGACTTTTACCGTGCTCATCAACATGAAGTTCAGGACGAGCACAAATATCAACCAAATCCAGTCTTGACTTCAAGTTATCCTTCGTCTTGCCTTGGACATCAAGGATAATGTTCATCAAATTGTCGAAAAAATTCTTTTCAATATGCATGACATCTACAGTCCCGCAACAAATGATTCTCCCAATATGGCAAATCCCAAAAGATACTCTTCTTATGCCAATTATGATGTTCCCCTACACCATCAATCGGTTCATGTTCGTTTCCACCCACGTCTGGCGTTCTATCTGCACCAAAATCTCTTAATGTTCCTTCAACTTTTTGCCACTTACTTCTTCAGGTGGACCGTCAAACACCCTCTTGTTCTTCATAAACAATGTCTTACTCTTACGATATGGATGATCGGGTGGTAGAAATCTTCAGTGACAGTCAAACCAACACGTTTTCCGACCATTTTTTAGTTGGAAAGCATCCGTGTTGTCTTGACAATAAGGACATAAGAGCCTTCCATGCGTGGTCCATCCAGATAACATACCATATGTTGGAAAATCACTTATTGTCCACATAAGTACTGCTCGCATCTGAAAATTTTCCTTCCGTGAAACATCGTATGTATGAACACCGTGCTCCCATAATAACTGCAGCTCATATATCAATGGCTGAAGAAACACATCCAGTGATCTTTTAGGATGATCTGGCCCGTGAACGAGAATTGAGAGGAACAAAAACTCTCTTTGCATACATAAATGTGGTGGTAAGTTGTAAGGTGTCACGATTACCGGCCACAATGAATATTGTCTTCCATGCTTTCCAAATGGGCTGAAACCATCTGTGCATAGTGCAAGATACACATTTCTCATCTCCGATGCAAATTCTGGATATGTTGACTGAAAATGCTTCCACGCCTCTGCATCAGAAGGATGTGTTATCTCACCATTTGTTGAGTGCTCTCCGTGCCATCTCATTGGTGCTGCTGTTTGTTTTGACTGATATAACCTCTTCAATCTTTCAGTTAAAGGCAAATATCACATTCGTTTGTATGGCACCCGAACTCTTCCACTCGTATCCTAATAACGAGGTTTCCGACAGAATTTACATATCTCCCGGTTCTCATCTGCTCTCCAGTAAATCATGCAGTTATCAATGCATACATCTATCACCTGATATGGTAAGCCAAGACCAGCGACCAATTTTTGTACCTCATAATATGAACCAGGTGAAAGATTATCTTCAGGTAGAACATCCCTAACAAAATCTGCAATCGCATCCATACATTCTTCAGCCAAATTATAGTCAGTCTTTAGCGCCATCAATCGACTTGCAGATGATAAAGGTGAATGCTCATCTCTACATCCTTGATACAATGGCTGCTTAGATGCATCTAACATTTCAAAAAACCTCCTGGCTTCTAAATTGGGTTGTTCTCGTCTATCTCCTTCCTCTTCACCCGACGGCCAATTTTCTAAATTGGGTTGTTGTCGTCTATCTCCTTCCTCTTCACCCGGCGGTAAATTTTCTCTATATGCATCATATACCATCTGAACAGTCCCTACCCCAAAATCTACATTCGTGCTAGGTTCATCTAACCTATCGGCAGTTTGAGGTTTGCTACTACTACCATACTCAAATCTTTCTCCATGAAGATACCAAATCATATAACCACGTGTAAACCCTTTCAGATATAAATGATTCCATACATCCATTCTTTTGACACGAATATTATTCTTACAAGTAGAGCATGGACATAATAAATACTTACTTGCTCTTGCTTCCGGTTGAATTTGAGCCACGCCATGAATTCTTGAATACCACGTGCGTCTTCTTCAGTAAGTAAACTTGTATTTGGATCCATATGAGGTTGATTTATCCAAGAACGAAAATTATAAGGAGTAGCCATGATTTATATTGTTTTGTTGTGATTTGAATGAATGAAGGAGAGGTTGTATTTATAGGTGAATCTCGAAAATTCCCGACGGAAAAAATCCATCAGAATTCCGTCGGGAAGTACAACGGCTACATTAACGTTTAAATTTCGTCGGTATTTCGTCAGGAATTTAAATGGTCACAAACGGCTACATACTCCGTCGGTATTTCGTCAGAATATTCGGACGAAATACCGACGGATTACTGACGACTATGTTCTTCCATCGGTATTTTGTCAGTATTTACCAATTTTTTTTCAACGGTCATATGTTTGTCGGTTTTTTTTTCGGGATTATATTACCAAATACCGACGAACCTATTATGTCGGAATTTTTCCGACGGAATTTCGACGAATTTACCAAAATTAGTTTCCGACGATTTTTCATCGGAATTTCGTCGGAATTTCCCGACAGAATTTTTTCGGTCGGTATTTCCGTCGGGATTTTCCGTGTTTTCTTGTAGTGTTTTAAAATACAAATAAACAATTTAAAATTAATTATGGTCATGATTTAACATAACCATAATGATTTAAAAAATTAAAATTTTAAAAAATTAAAATTTTAAAAAATTAAAATTTAAAAAATTAAGAAATTAAAACAGCTCAGTTTTATATCATGATTTAAAATTTTAAAAATTAATTATAGTTATGAGAAGTTTACGTTCACATGTCAATCCTATTTATCTTCAATTATTTCTCTGTTGTGTTTTTTTTATTTCGGTTATTACTCTCATTTCATTTGTTTGTTTTGACCTGGAATTTAGAAAATATTTAATATTTAAAATAATTAAAGAAATACATACTTTTGTGTAAGACCTAAAAAATAGAAAATTAACTTTTTAAATTATTTTGGTTTTAAGTTAATTTTAAAAGGAAATTTTTAATTAACACATGTCATAATATTAAATATATAAATGACAAAGAAAACAATTTTTTTAATTTCTAAGGTATCTTATAATATTTTTTTTTGTATTTGGTAATTATCTTGAACCCACGTTTTAAAAATTAAATACTAATGTTAAATAATTATTTATATGTAAATTTTTTTACAGTTTTTTTATTCTAGAATTTAAAAAAAGGAAAACCAAATTTCCAATATTTTTTAACAGGGAAAAATACAATTAAATAGTTATAAAAATATTGTTAAAATATATTAATTTGTAAGAAATTATCTTTACAAAAAATTATTGTAAAAGGAAATTCTATTATTAAATAAATATTATATGGAATTAGTTTTTTTGAAGACTTCTTAAAAAAGGAAAATTAACTTCTTAAATTATTTTGGGTTTAATTTATTATTTAAGGAAATTTTTAATTAACACATGTCATAATATTATATATATAATTGACAAAGAAAATAATATTTTTATTTGTAAGGTATCTTATAAGAATGTTTTTTTGGTAATTATCTTTAACCTACGTTTTAAAAAGTAAATACTATTGTTAAATAATTATTTATATGTAAATATGTTTTTACAGTTTTTTATTCAAGACTTAAAAAAGGAAAACCAACTTTCCAATATTTTAACAGGGAAAATACAATTAAATAGTTATAAAAATATTTTTTAAATATATTAATTTGTATGAAATAATATTAAAACAATGTATATTTTGTAATTATATTAAGTCCACGTTTTAAAAGAAAATACTATTATTAAATAATTATTATATGGAAATATTTTTTTTACAGTTTTTTTTAAGACTTTTTAAAAAGGAAAATAACTTTATAAATTATTTCGGGTTTAATTTATTTAACATGTGTTACAATTATGTTAATTAGTGGCTTTGAAAACCAAGTTTTATATAATAAAGATATATATATATATATATATATATATATATATATATATTTCCTTTTTTATTTATGTGCTTTTGTAGAAAAAGGGAAACTAAATTAAAATTTTTAATAGATTTTAAATTAAAAGTAAAATTAAATTCAAAGGAAACTTAAAAAAAAATTAAACTTCTAGATATTTACATGATAAAGTGACAAGTTTCCAAATCGGATGTTTCTATCTCTTATATACATATACATTTTTGTTTCTTAAGGAGAAAACAGCCATTAAAACCATGAACTTTCAAACTAAAGCAAAAGAACTCTCCAACTCGTGCTTGAGCCAAAAAAGTCTTCAACTTTCACATATTGGTTTTTTAACTCTTATATTTTGTTAACTCAGCCATTTAAAAACTCTAGATAGTCAACGCTTAAACAAGATTATAAAAGTAGATGTATGTTAACTCTGTAAACGATATTCTTTTTTAAAAAATTAGTCAAACAATGTTGTTTTGCATCTTTAAAGACTTAAAGCATATCTTTCGCGAAACTAAAATCCAAAATCGACTTCATCTTCCTGACTCAAAATGAGGAAGATAAAGTCGAAAGATTCTGGTTTCACAAATAAGTTGTTTTAAGTGTTTACAAAAGCAAAACGACATAGTTTAATAAATGTTTATTATTTTTTAAAATAACATCGTTTAAAAAATTAATAGGCGTCTGTTTTTGTAATCGGGTTTAGCTGTTGACTATTTGAGTTTCTTAAATGGTGAAGTCAACAAATATGAGAGTTAAAACGACCAACATTTAATAATTAGAGTTTTTTATGGCTCAAACATGAGTTAGAAGTTGTTTTTGCTTTAATTTAAAAGTTCATAGTTTTAATGATCTTTTTCTCTTTCTTAAAGATATTCCTTGGATTTTTTTTCTCAAGGAAAAGAGCTAAACCGACTAGTAGACTCGACTCTGGCCTTATGGAGGTGCATTTGCATAGGACCAATTTCATATTTTGACTTTTTTAGTTTAGGTTAGAGCCCAATTTTTTCAAAAAAAAAATTGTGTGAAGAAATAGATCTCAATTTTTTTTGTAGCACAAGGCCCAGTTTTTGTCTGAGACGGGCCTGCCGACTAGGTATATGCCGACTCTCCAGGTCCTAGATATAGTATATACTGTATATGCATATAGTGGTCACGCAAAATAATCGAAAACCCCCAAAGATGGTGATGGATTCCATAAAGATGAAAGAAAAAGTTGGTAAATCACAAGGTGCAGATCTCCCTATCCAAGAGACGAATCCAACCAAGAAGCAAAAACTTAGTGAATCAGAAGTAATCCCAAAACTTTCTCTATCAAAGATTGATTTGGCAGAAGCGATGAAGAAGCAAAACGACGTATCAATGTTCCTTGCGGGGAAAGTAATCTCAACCCTAGGCAAAAACTCTAACTTGGTTTTTTCTCCGGCATCAATAAACGCCGTGCTCACCATGGCGGCTAATAGGCCAGAAGAAGAAACACTAAGATCTTTCATCCTCTCCTTTCTTAGCTCTTCCTCAACCGACGAGCTCAACGCTGTGTTCGGTGAGATCTGTTCTGTGGTTCTTGCAGATGGCAGTGCGAGCGGTGGCCCTAAAATCGCAGCAGTTAATGGAGTTTGGATCGATCAATCACTCTCGGTTGATTCCTCGTGGAAGGATCTCTTAGTAAACTTATTTAAAGCTAAGTTTGATCAAGTTGACTTTAATACCAAGGTACTTTTATTATCTATTATGTTTGGAATTTTGATTACTTCTGAAACATAATCTTGTTCGGTTTAACACTGGAACATAGGCTTTTTTTGCTAAATAGTCTGGTCCGGTTGATGATTTAAATGTTAATTTTCTTGGGGGATTTTCTATGCAAATTTTCGGGATTTTCAAGACATTTGTTTTGTTTGATTTTGATAATCCTTTTATAGCTATGTAATAGTTTTTTTGTTATTGATTGATTATTTTGCTGTTTTGAAGGCGGAATTAGTGTGTACGGAGGTGAATGCGTGGGCTTCACGTCACACAAACAATCTCATCCAAGATCTACTTCCTCAAAGATCCGTTACAAGTAAAACCAAATGGATCTATGGAAACGCATTGTACTTCAAAGGAACTTGGGAAAATAAGTTTGATAAGTATCTGACTAAGCACAAACCATTTCACCTAGTCAATGGCGAATCAGTCTCTGTGCCTTTCATGAGCAGCCATAAGAATCAATATGTGAAGGCTTATGATGATTTCAAGGTCCTGAGGCTCCCTTATCAACAAGGCCGTGATGATGCCGACCGCAAATTCTCAATGTACTTCTATCTACCTGACAAAAGAGATGGATTGGATAATCTTCTGAAGAGATTAACATCTACTCATGGATTCTTGGACCTTCACAATCCGAGATACAAAGATCGAGTTGGTGAATTCAGAATTCCAAAATTTAAGATCGAATTTAGGTTTGAAGCTTCAACGATTTTTGATGATTTTAAGCGTAGTAATGTGTTATTGTACCACAAATCTTTCGTTGAGATCGATGAAGTAGGTACTGAAGCTGCTGCTGCTACTGCCATGAAGAAGTCTACTGGCGCCTGCAGACCAATTGTGCGGAAGAGGATAGATTTCGTGGCAGATCATCCATTTCTTTTCTTGATTAGAGAAGACGGAACCGGGACTGTTTTATTTGTTGGTCAAATCTTCGATCCTTCCAAATCTGATTAGGGTCTTGTATTAATTTTCTTTTTTTTTTCCTCAGGTTTGGGGGTTTCAATTTATTGATTACAACCTACTAAGTATGATTCTGAATCATTCTTCACATGCAGTTTAGTTGAGGAGTAATTTTCAAGCATCCTTTAGTTTTTTTTTCTTGCAGAATTTGCAAAGTTACTTTTTCCATGTATATTCAATGATTCATCACAATTTAAAGGACTTGAGACCCACTAAATGTTCCTATACTAGATTTTGGATGTGCGGGTAATTTTTTCATTTTATAAAAATATAAAAAATATTTTAAATATATGATTTACATTTTATTGTTATATATTGTATAACTATATAATCTTATTATTTTAATTATTTTATATAATATATTGTTGTAAATATTTTTAAAAAAATCATATATATTTTTTTAGATAACGTATTTGTTGTGAGTTACAAAAATATATGTTAACATTTTTGTATAAAAATAGTACATGATTCAAAAAACTAATATGCTTTACCAGTGAATAAAAGAAACTTTTAAAATAAAATATTTTTATTTACCAATTTAATATATTTTTATATTCATTCCACATAGCATTTTTATTTTAGTATAAGATAAAATATCATTAAATTATAAAATATACCAATTTTTATCTTTAATTAACATTAATATATATATATATATATGTATATATTAATCACGAAATTAAATAATATATATTTTATAAAAATAATTAAACTTCTTAGTAAGATCCTGTTAGATATTTTCTCAACAGAATTTATTATAAATGAAATTAAAATAGAAATTTATAGTCAAATTTGATTTATTTGATTGATTAATATAAATAATCAAATATGTCATACTAATGAAATGGTCCAAAATGACTTTTGTGTAGTAGATTTAAATGGTACTTCTCTTTTAATATAGAAGATATACTTTTGCAAAAGAAAAAGAGGTTGTGTTAGAGTAGGTCCATCTGTCGTTTTTTGCTTGGTATCAATCTTATTAAAAATTAAAATAATAAGAAAAAGAAACAAAACTCATAAGTATCACTAAAAATACAAAAATGCATCAATACTATTAAACCAGAAGCACTTTTTATCTACTTACAAGTAGTTTATCGCAAAATATTACATTTATTTAATTTTATGTTATGTTACATACAACAAACTTAATTATTATTAAATAAACATATAATATTAATATAATCTTTAAATATATTCAAAATAAGATATCAAAAAGATACTCTTAACTATTTTTCAGATTCTATTTTAACAATATCTTTAATATATTTTTATTTTAAAAATAAATATTTATTGTATTAATATTATTTTAAGAATAAAAACGTAAAATAATCTTAAATTAAATTACAAATGAATATTAACTCATTTTTATTTACAGAATAAGAAATAACCTTCTATAACATTTATATATAAATATTTCATATTTGTAACTAAAAATTACACAAAATAATAATTATAATATAAATTAATCTACTTTATAAATTATAAACTAAATGAATTACATTTACAGAATAACAAAATACTACCATAAGATATTTAAAAAAGAAATAATTTTATATTTTAATATACATATCTAAATTAACAACATTAGGATATAAAAAATTATATTTAGTTATATATAACTGATACACGAAATAATAATAAACACATTCTTAAAGCCTCCGCTAATACATAATAATATAATTATCATAGATAAAGTCTTAAAATCGTTTATATATATATATATTATATATATATAATATTTTATAAAATAAATATTAATAATAGCTACTATTAATATTTAATTATATGATGAAACATGTTATTACTGATATTTTTATGATTATAATTTTACGGGTTATTCCAATAAACATATAAAATATTCATCAAATATTAATTTAATTTAAAAAATTGAAACATAATTTAAGTTATGCCTGAGAGTTCAAGTACCTATTGGGATACGGGTATAATATTTTGTAGCAAAGCTAATTTATATCACATCATAAATGTCATAATTTGTAAGTAGACATGTTTGTAATTATGAATCAGATTCAAATATAACACGTCGAGTTTAGTTCTAATTTATACACATCCTAAAACCGATAAAGTAACCATATATCGTTCGGATTCGGGTTATATTGGTTTGGAAATCTAAAATCTAAAACCAAAATTAAAAAACAAAAAGATACTTATTTTTATAGAATTGGATATTAAAGTACTTATTTACAATTTAGATAATTAATTTTAAATATCATTTTAAAATAAATATAGAATTAAATATTTAAACTAGATATTTATGTTTCAGATATTTATATTTATGATTAATTTGGACATTCAGACGATTCAGATTTTTTTCCAGATTGTTTGGTTTTTGGGTTATTCGTTCGGGTCTGTCTAATAACACTTTGATTCGGATATATTTTGTACCACCCTACAAAACTGATTCTAATATATTTTAGATTTTTGACCATTTACGGATCCAATTTTTTTTGTTTAGATTGAGTTTAGACATTGAGTTATGGATTTTATGCACATGTCAACTTTATATAAAACAAAAATGCGGTCATATAAAATTTCACCAAAAGAATATCCTGCATTTTTAAAAAATATTATGTTTGATGAAATTATTGAACTAAATAAGTCTATCCTACATTCTACATGTATAGTAAATGCGATTATATGAAGTTTGCATCAAACATAAACCCGCGCTTTAAAAGCGCGGGTCAAAACCTAGTTTATCTTATTAAATCAGAAACATTAGGTTGAACCTAATATTTATTTTGTAAGTTTTTAAATTAAATACATCTTTCTACTTTATAGTTAAACTTACATTAAATCACTAATATTTTTTTCTTTATACTATTATCCATGTTTCCAAATAATATATTTATTTCTTTATACTATTATCCATGTTTCCAAACAATATATTCATTTTTATACTACTATCCATGTTTCCAAACAACACTCTAATTAATTTTATGTCCAAATAATACAAAATGTTAGATCTCACCCATTTTAATAATTTCTCACAATTGTTTTTCAAATTATTTAGATAAACTAAAGAATTCAATAATATATAAAACATTGAAAATAAATTTATTTTTACAGGTTTAAAATAATACATATCAGTTATCCATCAGATCAATCGGGTTTTAGTGATTTTTGAAATATGGATATTTTTAAAAATCAAAATTGAATTATGGGATCTCCAACTCACCGGGGTTCAGATTGAATTTAAAAATATTGATTTAAATGCAAAAATATTTTAAATACGTAAATTCTTTCAAATTACCAAATTATTTGTTAAGTTATTTATGAAATTTTCATCATAAAATATTAAGACCAAAGTTAAGTCTGAATTTGACCTAACCTATAAAATAAAGGTTAAGGCCAAATTTTTAAAAATATGTATATTAATTTAAAATACTTGGATAATTATTAACATCCGTAACTAAACTCTCAACTTATTTTTAACGCAAAAAGTTAAGTTTGAATTTGATTTTGCACTTCGAACAAAGGTACAAAATTAGTGTTTTCACTGTACAGTTACATCTACATAATACACTGCTTAACGCTATTAGTACAAAAGATAATTTTGTTATTGTTCTTTAAACATATATAAAATCGAATTGGACAAACTCAGAACTATATAAAACTATAATACATCCAGACAATAAAACCCGCGCAGATATAAGGTACTTTGGGTTGTTAGATAAAAAAATATCGACTAATTTTAATATTTTTAAATATTTCAATAATTTATTGAGAAATAGAATAGTTTTTAGTTTCTTTTCACAAAAAATAACTTTTAAGGAAGAAAATCACTAAAATAATTATCTTGAAGGATAAATATACTTTTATACATTTAGGATTAATTAACCCTAAACTTTTTGTTTAGAGTTAAAGGGTGGAATTTAGAGGGTGAGATTAAAAATTATCAAAATAAAAATAAATATTAAAATTTTAAAGAATTTTTTAAATAGTTTCAAAAACTATTTTCTAAATTCAAAAAAAAACTGAAAAATCTTTTAAAAAAAACTAAAAAAAAAATCGATTTTTTTTTATAAAAATTTCAAATCTGAAAATATACAAATCTCTATAATATTATTTGAGAAGTCACTTTCTTAGGTGTCGCGCTCACGTTAACTCTCACGCTGGTTGATTACTATGATACCCCTAATGAATTAAAAATATATTTGAATATTATTATTTCCTTTTTAAAATCTTCCAAATAACAATATAAAATAAAAAGGAAATATTTATTAAATTTACAAAACTATTTAAAACGAAAAATAAGTATATATATAATATGGTTTCATAAAAAAGGAAAGTTTACAAAATAGTAATATTTAACCTAAATATATTTTTAAATAACATAAATACTTTATATCTATATCTTCTTAGATGAAAAAAAATATTTGTATATAACGTGTTTTCATTAAAAAAGTTCATACAAATAATCTTGATATTAGAAAAGAAGTAT